TTTTTAACAAAATATCCACTTATTCAATGCTTATATGCCTTAATGGAAAATTAATATAACATTCATAGCCATCTGCATTTTCATAATGAGTTTGAAGGGTAAAGAGAAATGAAGATGTGGTCCTGTTACAACTGTGCTGGTTGGTTTCACTGTGATTTGTAATTTATCTACAATATGGTTGGACAGTGAGGAAAAAAACACAAAAGCAATGATGATCAATGACAAATCACCATTTGGAAAATGTTGCAGACCTGGTTGCAGTGTCTCACGTTAGGTTCTCAATTAAAACAGATTTCAATAGCTGTCTACACCCCTACAGTTAGACCACACACAGTGAACTACACAAGCTGTCTCCTTTTCATTTTCTATAACGAGCAGCAGATCTCGTAGCGAGCAAGACGAGATCACAAGTTGTGAGAAAAATGTGGGTGGTGCAACGAGCAAAGTTCCAAACAGTGATCTGGGAACTGTACAGCAGAGAAAACACACCACAGCAACCAATTATATCTGAAATATGTTTTGTTTATAAGATAAATTAATGCAGATTGCAGCCTTTTATTTTAGCGCTAACATAAAACTCCAGTCTGATATATACGCCATTGTCTTTATTTGTGAACACAAACTACAACAAATATAAATTTAATGATGAAGGATGGTCACTGACAAGACAAAATTAAAGAGAATTTCATCCTAGCTATACCTTAAATGTGAAAATATGTATTTTTTGATCAAGATAGATTGGGTCTGGATGTAATGCAAGGGATCATTCAAAAGTTCAAACCAAAGTGAAGTTAGCCTGGGGACAGAAAGCTGTTGGACCTTTTAATCCTGTCTCCTTTTGTGACATCACATGCAAAAAAATAAAAAAAAGGTGTCATATTTAATTCAGCACTGAGTTGACAAGTCAATTGGTTAAAAAATTTTCAGTCAGCTCGCACATGAATGCAATTTCTGGATAACTGTGTCTGTATTTGCCAGGTGTTATAGACAATGTCATGTTGATGTCACGCAGTGTTGAATTTTGGGTAAATGCGCCATGTTTGGAGCATCATGCTCATTGTTCATCATAGAGGTATATTCTACATACATGTATCAGTTAATTTTACAAAATAAATATTGTCCCATACAGCTACATACAAGCAACAGAAATTCATTAATCTGCGGTGCTTGTGTTGTCTGATAACAGATGCTTGCTAGCATTAGCTCCAACAGAGACAGCTGAGGTCAGTGCGCTCTTATTGACAGGATTCGCTATGAGGTAGCTTCTGCCAGCTAAAGTTAAACACTCTGAATTATCACAGTCAATAAAGTCAATAAATCTAAATGACTTAAACAACTTTTTAGGCAAACAAAACAAGAATGTATGCAGGTGAATACAGTGTGCACCTCCAACAATGGTGCCCCCATCGCAACATTCATCAGGGTGTGACACACCTTCACAATCTCTAAACCATAGAAAATTAGCTAAAATGGTAGAAACATTAATTTCATTGTGATGTAAATGCTATGTATGGATATCTATATGGTGTGTATTCCCAATAAATCCCTTTCAATTTACTAGTACATCCCTTGTTAATAGCTAGTCCTATAATACAGGAAATACTAGTCGCCTCATCTAAAATCTGTATAGTACTTAATATTATATAAGGGGAAACACAATGGCTGATCTTTTCCAATAGGCTTTACATTATGTTGAATGCATTATCCCTTTTCTTGAGTGCATGGCCAGTAATCCTACATACATTACAACACCAGATCGATGCAGTCAAATGAAGCCATAAAGTGGATGGAGATGCAGCAGTAAATCATCTGATGGGGACTCACACATCCTCCTTAATGCCTTGTTTGATATTTGTCTCCTATAAATCATGACCCATAAAAATGGGTGTGAAAGAGGTAAGAATCCAGCTCTCTATAGTATTTACAGGTAGAATAGGTAAAGGAGAAAGCAGAGAGACATTATTTCTCTAAATGAAATAGATCCTGACATCTGGGCATCCAGGGGCCCCATCCTCCCCCCGCCCTCCTTTGTAATTACACGACATAATGGTGGTGCAGTCGCCCCGTAATCTCCCATTATAATCAGTCTTGGCTGCCTCCACTCGCTCTCCACCATGGCTTCTAATTCAATATAAATGTAAATGACTGGGGATTGGGGGTGGGGGGTGGTTCAGAAACAGTATAGAGTGTAAATTCAGGAGTCTGATCTCGCAACAAATCCATACTTATATTTACAGGAAGTCCTGTATGTGTTTTTAATAACATGTATGTGGATTGTTGATGTGATGTAAACCACGTAGTACGTCTCCAGTGCACATGCATTTTAAATATGATGAACAAAGCTTAACTGGATCCTCAACTCAAAATACATTAAAAGCTAATAATCCAACTTGAACATAAACAAATTTAACCACAGAGGTGAGTCTAAGGCGCTGCTGTATCAGGGGCTGATTTAGGGACATCTACTGCATTTCTACAGAATTTCTTTAAATGCAAATTCTTAATGCTGTGAGTAGCATAGCATGGAGGAAGAAACCTAAACAAACTGAATCACATTTATGTGAACAAAATGTTACTTTGGTAAACTAATCCCATGTTCACGTTTTTGGTGAGAGGTGCTCCAAGATGCTATAGGAAAAACACAGAAACATCCCTCTAACACTGCAACAAAATGTGAGAAAAACAAAAGAAGATGCATCAAGTTAATATAACTCATAAGAGACCCCACTAAACA